ACTAAGATAGTACTTTCTATGCTGTTTTCATGTACTTTTAATCGAGTTATAATATAATAATATAACTGATAATATAATATAATATAATATATAATACAATAATATAATAATATAACTGAGAAACAATCCTAAAAAGTTTTGCAGAATTTAAAGTCATGAAAATTTCAAAACTCCCGCGGCCCGGTGAGTTTTGAACGTGCATTACTTTCATTAATTAATATAATTAATCTTCAATTACAGATAGATCTTATTATAATTTAAATCTGGTCTGCACGTGGCTCGATAATGAATTCGATACAACTTTACGTAGGCCGATATATCTAATACGATGTTACGAATATCTAATACCGACTTAATTACCGAAGGGATCGCAAGTCAATGAGGGTAAGGTAGATCGATCGTGGATAAAACAGATTTGCAATGTGTTTGTGGAATTGTAACAACGGGGGCAACGCGTCGTACGTCGTTAGGCAAGCAACTTGCAGGACATTTGCATAGTATTTTTACGAGGGACAAACGAGTCGGGTGAATGATGTATGGTCTCGTGTTAATCGATACTCAGGAAACAATATAGTGCAACAGGTTTTAGAAGATTGCTATTGATTTATGCCCGGACTGGTTTATTCGATTTGCAGCGGTGTGTCGGATGATCAACGGTGGAAAAAAAGTTCGTTTGCATTTTCTTGACTCATTGGATTCTGTGCTGTAACTTCGCATTTCCAACATGGCGTCAGGTGTGTTTGGGAGGAATCTGAATTTGAAAATTTAATCGAACCACCGAGGTCGAGTGTGATTGAAGAAAATGTGGACATTTTTCGAAAAGTACTCTTTTTTTTTTATTGCATTTTCAGAATGGATTCCACGTTACATGTCGATAAATTACCAATCTTGTGTCCCGATAATTGGATAGAAAAGAATAAAAAATTAAACAGAAAAGAGCTTTTCTTTTCATTTAATTACTTGTTAAATAAGAGAAAATATCTTTCAAGAAATATTATTGCAAATCATTTGCAAAATGTAGGTAAAAAAAAAAGAAATGGATTTAAAATGTAAAATTTAGTCATATAAATTGTATGTAAATATAAAAAAACTTATGAATCTTTTTCTAGTAATCTGATTGAAATAATTACCTCGTTGTTTTACTATTTACCATTGAAACACAAGCAGATTTAAACGTGAAATCATGGTTCCTTAAGGAACTAGGTTTACATTGCAAATGGGCTATATCGACAATGTTTCATCATTGTTTCTAATTCATTCATATATACATTTCATTTATACATTTCTCTCGTTACATCCTGTAAAGATAGTACAATAAAATTCACATGAAACAGATACAGAGGACGCTTAGACTTTTTAGAACCTGGAACATCCCTGGACGGAATAAGGCCAGACCAAAGATATGCAAGTTTCTTTGAAATTTTTCTTGCTAATACCTAATAACGCACAACCATATAATCACACTATCTCTCCTGAGAACCATCCAACAAATACATCTTTTTATGCAGGTTAAAGGGCCATCAAATCCCAAGTATTGTAATTAAATCAACCACAAGCGAAAAAGAAGAAAAGATGAGACCAATTGGATCTTATCTATCGAAGTTGGACAAGTTGCAACGCTTTCTCATATAAATGTTAAATTGTACAAGAGCATAATTGTACATTCTTTACAGTCCAGCACTTCCTTATTATCAAAATTACTAACTACACACTAGCGAATAGCAATAATCAAACACTATACTATTCATACCATGAAACACTATACTATTCATACTATATATACCATTCTAACACTGTACTATCGATACTATTCATCAAAATGATGCTTTCTGCTCGATTCGTGCACGGCTCGTCGATGTGGTATAAAAAAATGGACCTTTTTGGTGGAAAACGGTAAAATTGCAGCCTGACGATCGTTGACAATCGAAAATCCGAATATCAGTTGATATAATAATATACTGAAAGGAGCTGTAGCAGGCCGTAGTCGCATTTACGAAGCTACCTACACGAGCAGGCCCCGAGGGACCGACCGGTCTGGCCATATTAGTCCACAGAGGCCACTAGGAGGCTGACGTCACCAAGGGTCGCTCGCGTTCTCCCGCTGCGTCGACGTAACGTCCTAGACGTTTCTCATCTACGGTACACCCCGTGATGATGACACGGGCCATCTTACTCTTGGTTTTCCATAGATACGCTCGATTTCAGCCGACCGTAGAGACAGCAGCCGCGCTTAAATGGTTAAGCTACGTGCGGTGGAACGTGACTCAAATCCCTCCCTTCCCCTCCCCTCCCCTCCCAACACTAGGGGACCTTGTTGACTATGGCTGACCTCATTTCAATTGGAAATGTAGGTTAACCGTGGAATTCCCTTGATCCGTCCAAACTAGAAACAACAAAATGGCAAATGTTAAAACATATCTACACCTTTTTATCACTCATATCTACACATTTTTTTTTTCAAAACGTACAACGATCGTCACGATTAAAACGGAGAGTGCAAAGAGAGAGACAGAGAGAGAGAGAGAGAGAGAGGTGAGAAATTGAATTTTTTTTTTTTTTTTTTAGCAAAGAGGTGTGAAGTCGCTGGTAGGAAAATGAACGGTAGGCAGCTCGAACGGTATTCTTAGTGAACGAGCCTCCTCTCGTTGGAATTTCTCTTCGACTTCCGGCTGCTTGCAACAAAGTTACGAAGGAGACGTGATCGGCCGATTAAATCGTCGTTGCCTGGTCTTTTTATAGAGACGCGTTCTACGCGTCGTCCTCCAATGAACTTTCGTCAACAACAGTCGGTCTACCTGGAACCTAAATGAATGCTAAAATTCAAAAGAAGTCTATCGGAGATAATCGGTAAACTTATTTACAAATTTAGAATTTCGTCCGTGCGTTTTTTCTTTTTTTTTTTTGTTTTCTGAAGAATGGAAATGATCATTTCCAGTGTTGTTTCGCTGGTAGACCGTGCAAGGCAGTGGAACAGTGCACGTGCAGGTTCGCAAGGATGAAATGCCAGCACGGCGAGCGTCTATGGGGGGACTGATTGTTCAAACAAGCGGTCGAACGTTCGCGGAGGTGTCGCGAGGTTTCTCGACAGCCTGTGTTCCCTCGAAGGCTGGCCGAAGGACGGGGATCGCGACGATCCACGGAAAGGAGAGAAGAGAGAGAGAGAGCGACGCGCGCGTACGTGCGTGGTTTAAACCGTCGCAGGACTTTGTTCATAGAGAATCTTTCCCGAGACCTTTGCGGTCGAAAGAGCGTCAGGCGAGTTGAAAAAAAAAAACGCAGCCTTGTGATTTCCATTTGGCGCTGCAAAAAGAAAGAGAGAGAGAGAGAGAGAGAGAAAAAAATATGGCACAACCTTGTTACATCCGTGTGCACGTTCGGCATTTCCACTTCCATTTTCATACATCATTTTCCTACCGATGCGACGCAATCAGTCTAAGAACGCTTGATAATCGACGCGTTTCTTCGAACAAAGAGAAACACAGAGAAAAAGATAGAAAGAGAGGAGGAAGAAGATGAGGACACCGAGAGGGGAGCAACATTAATTATTAATACGAACGTCAATTGCGAATTATGTATACGCGATTATAGGCATAATTGTTTGCTTTAGACCGTCTCTGATTCGTTCGAGTCTTGCAAGGTTGCGCGCGTTGGATATACCAAACCAAGATGTTCCAGTGTTACAACGTTCCTGGAATACATTGCATTTCCAGCAGAGATCCAAATTTTACAAGTACAAAGGAAATAGAATTGGCAAGAAATCAATCTTTCTATCTTTTCCAAGCTTTATATTTATTTATAACAAGATGGATGTGATCCTAAGCGTTTAGGGTTACATCCACCTTCTCGAGTTATTAGTGACCATGGTAGATTATACAGCTATAATGATTGATATAATCCTGTAGCTTTCAGAAAGTCTAACAATTTCTTCCCCTGGATCTTCTTTTCCCAGCATTTTGAGTTAGTTGGTAAGATTGTGCTGTTTCCATTTATCTTTGTACTTGGGACAAGCTGTTAATAAGCGTTCAATGGAGCTAGGTAGATTCACAGATATTTCTTTTGGTTCTATTTTTGTTTTCAAGCTTCCACAGAACAGCATTGGCAACGAATCTGCGCGGAGACTTCGACGAAGGGAAACGTTGAATCGCCGCCATTTTGCGTGGCCGAGGGTTGGTCCAGAGGGGATGCTGCGCAGCATCACACTCCGGTATCGTTTGCACTGAGGGAGAGCAATGCTGCTATTGGATCGACGTCCTCGATTCAGAGGGTAGTTGCTCCCCTTCTCTTCAATCAAACATGGTGGATCCTTCATTTTATGGGCCACGCAAATTCTCAAGGACCACGTGCGTATACAAGAAATTTCAGCTTCTTATGAAAAAACGAATGAAACAACAAGTTTCGATTAGCCATCAGTGAGCAACTGGCTCAACAAGAAATCTCCGTTAATTGGTGCATCCTTCATTTTATAGGCCATGCAAATTCTCAAGGACCGCTCGCGTATACAAGAAATTCCAGCTTCCTGTGAAGAAGAAAAGAAAGAAATGGAACAACAAATTTCGATCAGCCATCAGTGAGCAACTGGCTCAACAAGAAATCTCCGTTAATTGGTGCATCCTGTATTTTATGGGCCACGCAAATTCTTAGCTTCTTATGAAGAAGAAACAAAAGATTTCAATCCATCAGTCGACAACTAGATTAACTGGATTGAGAGATGTCAGTTGAATCGTGAAAAGGAAGAGACAGAGTTTAGAGTCAACAGCCGATGAGAACGGTTGGAATTGATGACGCAGAGATTCAGGGACGACGACTGCGCAGGATTTCTCTCTCGATGCGGCGTGTGTCGCGGCGGCGGTTGGCCAACCCCTTCACGTCGGCGGAGGGTGGCAGAGGGTGCGGTCTAGCTCCCGTAATCAATACCGGTGTCGGCTGGCCTCGCTTCGCCATCCACGCGAAATCCTGCAGACACACCGCGAATTTTTCTTCTTGTCGTCGCCGTCTTATCGGCTTTTTGTTCATTCCCTTCCATTCTTCTTCTACCCTGCTTATCGTTGTTTTGTCCAGCAACGAATTCGCCAACTCGTCCCCTTTCTCTCTCAACTCTCGCCACTTTGTTTCCTGCGTTGTTCTCCACGCAGTCGTCGAAAGTGGCAGGACACGCGCAATGTACCTAGTGTATAGACAGATAAGAAGATTCAGCGCGGTGACCGTGGTCTATAAATGCACGGCAGACAAAGTTAGCCCGGAGGGAAAATAAGAGAAAACGCGGACAGTCGCTTCCTGAAAGGCGAGCCCGTTAATTGCATAAATGATTCTCACGGGAGGAGTGCTCGGTAATTATACCGGCGCATTCCTTGGCCACGGAGCCAGCCCAGCGTAAACGTAGACGCGTGAGAGTTGCGTACACGCGAATACTCGTGGCTGCTTAAATCATTAATTAGTGCCGCACGCGCTACACCGTTGAAAACCGCAGAGTTTCGCACGGGGCCGTGCGTATAAACGCCGTTGAATAATCGCGATTCTTCGCTGCCAGCTGTATATATGTATATATATATTCTACTCGGTCGAGGTGATCCGATCCGTCTTTTGGTTTCAACCTAGCGTCTGGATTTACACATCCAATAATCACGTAAATCACGTCCTGTTTTCTCCTCTTCTTTTCTTCTTTTTTTTTCCCCCCCCCTAATCTTCGAGGAGGAGATTAACAGCGTTGCTGTACCGGCTCGATGGGCTTAATTAAGTTACGTATCAGTTGCTCTGTACAGCTTGCTAATCTTCGAGTACTATTCTGCAACATTGTGGAAAATCTTTGTAGACTTTGCGATGTTTGATCAAGTTGATTGCGCGTTTGTTTGATGTTCTCGAGTACAGAAGCTTGGCTTGCCACGTCGAACAGATTACGCTTCACTCTCGCGAATAAACGCAAGGGCAAATGGCCTCCAAATTTCTAACGAGTCTCTCGTGTATTCT